CCCCAAAACCCCAAAACCCCAAAACCCCACTTCGAAGAAATAGCAATTTTAATGAATTAACTTTTTTAAAAATATATTAAAAAACGTATAAAACAATAATAGAGCGATTAATTAACTTTCATAATCAGATGGTATTACACTTAACTTAGCATTGCTATTATTTCTCATTTGTCAGAATTATCAAAGTGGTCAACTTCAATCAAGTTTCTTGTAAAAATACTTAAAATCTCGCTATACTATTTTTTCTAATAAGCATTAGTGATTAGTTGTAACTTTTATTTTGACTAATATAAGTGTTTTATCTCATTTTACTATTGGCTAACTTATAATTACAGATCCAATTATGATAAGTTTTCTTCCAATTTTTAAAACAATTAAAGAGTGCTTTATTTGCTATTTTTTTTGCTTAACTCAGGCAAAAAATTATCTTAAGTACTATAGATTTATGCTTCAGATTAATTTTCTAACTCAGTGTCTCTCTTAATTATACCATTATTTGTTGAATTCTCTCTTAAAATTTTGATTCTATTGAGTTTAGATTTTTTCTTTTTCCTTTTCGATTTCTTAGAATTCTTTACCTTTTTTGAAGGCTTATTTTTCATGATATATCTTTTGATTTTATGCTTTATCATTTACATCTTATCTTTAATAAGTATATACACTACTGTTACTTGATAAAAAATCATTACAGCTATTGTAAAAATCTATAGATTCTAATTTATAGTAACTATCTAACTTATATTAAATGCATTTATTGTCATCCCAAATTAACCATATAGATTTGTAATTATACAAAGTTAAAATAAAATCTCTGTATATTTAATAAGACTTTATTTTTCTGCTTTAAATTACATCCAAATCAAAATTGAGCTTGCTAAAAGCTATATATAAACTTGAATAGATAAGGGTAGCATTATTATACATATGGTAATCATTACTCTACGGAGGAAAAACATAAATAGTTATATGTCTAAAACATTTCTTAATTCTACATTTTCTATCATTGTAATATTTTTTACTAATTCTTTACTTCAATTAATTTCATTTCGTTGTAAAATGTTTTTTTCTTAATCTGTAATGAAACTCAATTGATTACTTTCATCAATTTCTTATGATATTTAATATTTTTCGAAGAATTTGTGAAATTTGAAAGCTTGATATCCTATCCTTATGGGCAAAAATGAAAAGAGTATTATTATTACTGAATAAAAAATGCTAATGACGATTGAACTATTATCATTAGAAAATAAATCCTCATCTCTTCTTTCAATAGCCAAGCAAATTATTAATAATATTTGCAAGTATGACAATTAGAATAAAGCAATAATAATTTCTCGATTTAATTATTAGTATAGTTTTGCTAAAATATCTGGAATTCATATTCTCTTTTTAATTAAAAATTCAAATGCTCTTTTTATCATTTAGTTTATAGTAGTAATTTTATTGAGTAAAATAACCATAAATTGATAAACTCCAAAGGCTAATAAAATACTAAGCATTCCATTAAGTTGTTACCAAAAATAATAAGTAGAATATCCTAAGAATTAGAACTTTAAAATTACATTTGTCTAATTATGACTTACATCAATTGCTTAAAGTAAATTTGGCAAATAATTAAAAGTTGAAACTTAATTGAGTACTTGATAAAATTCTAGTTCACTAAGTGGGACTTCATTATCAAATAAAAAAATATGAGATATTATTTGCAATGTATCAAGCATCTTGAATGTGAGAGTTCCAATCTATCATCTAAAAATTAATGGATTAAAATATATATACTGAGAGATTGAAAAGAATAAATTAGCCATCAAAAGATAAAGCATTATTTGCTTCAAAGAGCTGAACCCTTGATTTAAGTATGTTTCAAGTTCGAATGTAATAGATCAAATATGAGGTTACTGTGATTTACTAAGTGATGCTTTATAGAGTTTGTTCTAAAATTAAAATCATTAGTTATTATCTTACATCTATTCCGGGAAATTGATTTAATATACTTTCAGGTAGCTTAATCTAAAGCAATCCATTACCTTGATAATTTACAATTTTATAAGTCTATTATTATAAGACAGTTTAGCAATTATCATTTCTATTTAACTTTTATTTCTTTACTATTATATAATTGTAAGCTTCATTGAACTCAGCCTAATTTTTAATCATATCATAACCAATTTAATCATCTTAAAAACTAATATCAAGTTGATATGAGTCATTGTTTCCTCTGACTTTTAAATTAAAACCAAGACATTCAAAGGTTATCATTTAATTTTTTATAAGTTGATCTCTTATATAAACTTGGATTTAATACATTGATTGTTATTTAGGATAAACTTTATTTTATAAGATTATTTCTAATATGTATCTTCCCTTATCACTATGAATAGGTTTAAAGCATAAAGTATTCTAAAAGATAGAAACAAATTATGGCCTGTTTGGTAGGATTATACTACAATTATCTTAACTACCACTTATAATTGCTGGTAATTATATATACATGATTTCATTTACATAAACCTCAACATTCTATGGCTCACTCTAAAATTTTGGAGTTTATTTGGCATTATTATTTTCAAGAGTATAGTTGAATGATGAATTTGGTTTGATGAATGCAATTTAATCAAGCTATTAATTTTACTTTTCTTTATGTATAATTAAGTTCCATACCAGGTAAAAGTAAGTCTTAGCAATAAGTAAAGATTCAGGATCTCTAACTTCATCATCCTCTACTTAAACATTAGTCTATAAATTGATATTGTATGTTTCTTATTTACTATCATCAGTGAATATTTTAGAATTTTTGTTTAAGTTTACTTTGTAGATTGTGTAATTACTATCAGAAATCGATATATAGTCAGGTAATCTAGAAGGAAAAACATTTTAACTGCTTAGAAATTTATTGCAAGTAAATACTTTTGCTAGTCTATCATTTATTACATCTATAACTAATGGTCCTTGACCGATTGTATAATGATAAGTTGGATTACTTATATTTCTGGAAGTATTGCATGATATTGTTATAGAAAGACTAAACCTTTATAATAAATCTCTCATTGAACTATCATAGTAGAATTTAAAATCTCTAGTGTATCTACCTATTGAGTATTTACTAGAGGTATTTACACTAAATTATTTATTTTTCCAGTCAAAAGTAAAAGGATTTGTATAGTTTACAGGAGATTTAATATCTTCAATTACTAATATGGGATCAGGACAGTTACTATACGGTTTTAAGTACTTTTTGCCGATATCAATAACTGTGGGTAAAGAATATAAATTGTAGTTGATTGATAAATTATCATATGCGCTTCCCTCACAAGATAAAAGTTCAATGAATAGTTTAATATAAGAATACTTATTGTTTGGATAAGTAACCTTAAATGAAAAACTTCCTGGCTAATATAAATTTTTGCGGTTATTATAATCTAGAATAAATAATCCATTTTCTAATCTATATTGTTCATAATAGTTGCTTTCAAAGGCAATATTTCTCTTTGAATCTAAACAATTTTCATCCCCTGATATGTATTTATTAAGATCAATGCTAAATTCTTCAGGACTTTATCGAATAAAACTAAATTTCATCCCTGTTTGAGTAATGATTTTGGATTTACTCTCACAAAGTTGAGAAAAAGTTCTAAAATATTATGAATCTTAGGACCTAAGGATAATCTTCGAATAATCTTCAAACACTAGATTACCATCAATAAATACTTTAAACAAATTTAAATCCTTTTTCAAATATCTTTAGGTATATGAGAGTTCATAAAATGTAGTTTTATCAGGCATATTGTTCATACCACATGATAATGTTATGTTATTAGTATTTACTATTGAAGAATAAGCAGTCATTTGTTAGATTTATTAATATCCACTATAAATTATGTAGCTACTATTCTTGATAAAAGCATGCAGAGCTTATATTAAACCAATGTATGACACACTAGTTTGAACTATTGAAACTTTAATTAAGCTGATAAAACTAATTTTGTAGATTATCAAATCAGATAGGGATCCTATATTTAAGCTTGTTACTGCGTAAAATTCATTACTGTTCTAAATTTATACATCTCTACATCTTTACTCTTTTTAAATCTCCGTAAATTTGATATCTTTTTGTCCACTTGACAAATTGATTTACATCAATGAAAACTGCATCCAATAATCAGTTTCATTATCATTTTGAGTGTGAGAACATATTCCCAGGTATTAAAATTAGGAATCTTGCTCTTTTATAATATCAAACTCAGAAATGTAAATTTTAGAAGAACCCACAAATGTTTTATTAAATTCAAATCCTAAATTCCATAGTTACTAAACTGTAGTTGATTCGAATTTTATAAAGCCTAAAATTACATTCTAAGTAAATGAATCATAAACATATGTGCTTTTAAAATTTAAGTACAATTCATTACTATCTAATAATATAGATAGAAATTCATAGTTTCCTTACTTAGACTCTAGTACTTTAGACCATTTTTAATTCAAACTATTGGTGAGATTACTTAAATCCAAGCTGTTATATAAAGCAAATCATCATCGGTAAAATGGATTGAATTGTGCTGATTTATTTAATACAGTGGATAAGGATTACCTGACGCTTCATTGTACATTTTTATTAAATTTCCATCAGTAGAATTCAATAAAATCAATCAATTCTGACCATCATTCAGCTAGTAAATTGATAATATTTTCTTTTTTAGAGTTTATATTCCTTGAATTTTCACAGAAATAACTGATAATAAGTCATCATTTTATAATGTTCTCAGCCATTTATTTTCATTAACCCCTTGATACTAAAAGAACAGAGTTTTACCAAAACTATTAATCGAAGAAATTTTAGCTATTCCACCCGCAATTATGTTGTCACTACTGTCTATATCAAACACATCAGCTCAAGATTGAGAATTTGACAATGAATCATGAAATGAAAATGGCAACTTCCAATTATAGCAGTTCTCTAAACTCATTACATAAGTAGCAAGGCTTAATATTATTAGAATCATTATTATTATAAGAAATACTTTTTCTAACCCTGTTTAAATAGAATAAATTTAGTCAAATTAATTAATAAAGTTATAAAACTAGATATCAACGTATTTAGTTTTATGGGGTTTTGGGGTTTTGGGG